CCCCACCCACATTCTCAACACCCCACACCCTCAGACCCCCCACCCACCCACCTGCCGTCTGCCGCCTGCTGCCTGGGCAGCTTGAGGTGGCTCCCCAGCTCGCCGCCGTCCTCGAGCGACAGAGCCCCCAGGTCTGGCTGCGCGGCAAAGGGCAGGCCGGGCTGGCGCCCCACGGGCGGCGGCTGCAGGTGTGACACCGCATGCAGCAGCGGGACCTCTCCAAATTTCTTGCTGCAGGGGCACAGGGCGGGCGGGCGGGGAGGGGAGGGGTGTGCATCAGAGGTTGTGTGCTGGTGCTGGTGCGTGGTGGTGTGTGCTGGTGTGTGCTGGTGTGTGTGCTGGTGAAGGGGTGCGTGGTGTGCTGCCAGTGTGGCACAGGCGCAGGTGAGGCAGCAGGCAAGGCGGGCAGCCCGGGTCGCCGCCGCCGCCACACGCACATCATCGACAGCGTCGCCACCCCACACCAGGCCGCCCGCCGGCTGCTTTGCCTGCGTTCCACCCGCCCCTCCCACCCTCTACACTCCTTCCAGGCCGCCCTGTTTCCTTGCCTGCGTGTGCCACCCCCACAACCCCTCCCATCCTCCACTCCCAAACAAACAGACAGACAACACTTGTTGCTCCAAGCCTACCCACCGCTTCTTGTTCTTCTTCGTCTTAAAGTCCAGGAGCATGTTGGTGGTGTGGGGCGCCGCCTCGGGCAGGCGATCGAAGCCGATGGGGCGCTTGGGGTTCTTGCCGCGCACCGCAGCCGCGTACTCGCCCTCAATCTGTGGGGGGGGGGGGCGGGCAGGAAGGCAAGAAGGAAAAGGGTAACAGGCAGGCAGGCAGGCAGGCAGGCAGGCAGGCTGGAACTCGTAGGCGGGCAACAGGCAGGCAGGCGAGCAGGCGAGCGCGGGGGGCGGTGCGGCAGAGCCCCGCAGCGCGGGCGGGGTAGCATAGCCAGCAGGCAGCAGCAGCGGCAGCGGGCCTGCGGCGCGCCGCCAGGCGCACCTGCTCCTGCTGCGCCCGCGGCTCGTGCCGCTGCTTGATCTGCAGCTGCTGCATGTCGGTCTCCACGTACTGCACGGTACAGGCGGGGGACAGCAAGGTACCGGTCGGGGTGCAAGCGGGGCAGCAGGTTGGCAGGGTTGACACGGCCCCACCCCTTCCTGGCCCTGGTAGTACATCCAGCCAGCGCATACAGCGCACAGCACGCCGTCGCTCGCTCTGGCGCCAGGATCGGCAGGGCAGGCTCAAAACCCCACGCCGCCGCCAGCTCAGCGCCAGCTCAGCGCCGCCACCAGCTCAGCTCACCACAAGGTCCCGCTTCTTGCGCTCCCGCTTCACCAGGCACTCCAGGATGTCTAGTGCCTGAGGCAGGAGGGGGTATGGTGGGGAGGCAGGCAGGCGATGAGAAGAAACGGAGCAAAAGGGAGCGAGTGGCGGGGCGGGGAGGGAGGCAGGTGGGGAGGGAGGTGTGCAGGGCGAGCAAGGTGAGCAGCAGTGGGGAGCCAGGGGGCGACAAAGGCGGTGGCGAAGAGGGAAGGGAGGGGGGAAGGGAGGCGGCGGCAGAGGTGGGTGCGTGGCCCGGTGCAGTGAGCACGGGAGGGGCAGCACGCCACGCCCTGCACGCCACCCACCTATCCGCCGCCAGTCCCACCACCACACCACACCCACACAGCGCAGCGCAGGGCAGGCCCTGCACACCATACACGCAGGGCGGCAGGCGGTGCAGCGCGGCAGGCGGCGCGGCGCGGCACAGCGCGGCGCACCTTGAGCACGTTCTCCCGAATCATCCGCAGCTTCTCCAGGCTGTCTGCGTTGTTCTCGCGCCGCCGCCGCGTCTGCGGGCGGTGGATGCGCTCCCGGGGCCTGCAGGGGCGGCGGTGGGTGCGATGGGGTGGGGTCGGAGGTGGCGGAACAAGCCGGGTGGGAACTACGGAGAGCAATGAGGAGGCAGGCACAGACCCAGGGCTGCTGGGCCGGCTCCGGCCTGACCGCCGCCACCACGGCATGCCACCGGCACGCGCCACCAGCACACACACGCTCAGACACGAGGGCATGCCGCCGCCGCCGGGACTCGCCGCGGCGCAGCCGCAGCCGCAGACCTCAAACCCTAAAACCTGTAAAACCTTAAAGCCCACCTGAACACGTTGTAAGGGTTCTGGTCGTTGACGGGCGTGGGCGCGATGAGGCGCCGCATCAGCGGCCGCCCCATGGCCTTGCGCCGCGCCACCCAGTAAGCATACACGTCCGCCCGGATCGTGTCGCGGGCTGCGGGGTAGGCGGCGGGGGATGGCGGTGGAGGGGCGGAGGGGCTGAGGGGCTGGAGGGGCTGGAGGGATGAGCGCGGCCGAGGGGCGCCTCCAGGCGCAAGCCCCACCCACGCCAGCCCACGGCCCTTCGCCGCTCGCCACCAGCACCACCGGCCAGCATCACACACACACACATACACACACACACACAGAATCCTTCCTATTCCCCGACGCACACACCATGCCTTCCTATCCCCCCCCCCC